CCATGGTTCACTGGTACTGTAGGTTCACGGGTACCATAGGTTCACTGGTACTGTAGGTTCACGGGTACTGTAGGTTCACTGGTACTGTAGTTTCACTGGTACCCTCGAACCTACAGTACCCTCGAACCTACAGTACCAGTGAACCTATAGAATTGTTGGCAATTTTTCTGTGAATTTTCCACTGTTTGCCATACTCACCAAAGCCAATACTTTGACCGTTGTTGATAATCTGTGCAGACATGAACTGGGGTCTACCATAGAAGTCCTCACCAGAGTTATGTAGAGCTTCCTTAATGGCCTGCTTGCCATTTATAACCACGGCCGACCAACTACCCAACTGGATCTTGAAGATGTTTCCAAACCTTTCCTTCATCTTCATGAAGGTCACGTAGGGTTCGTTTCCCAGTAGCGGGAGGTGTCCAATAATAGGGAACCCCCAGGGACCAGGAGGAGGGGGTTTCCGGCCAGAGGTAAACTTTTTCACCACTTTTATTGCTAGCAATGACGCCACAAGATTACCACGCCAACCTGCATTTCTGTTGACTTCAAAATTGTTGACATCAGTTTAACTGGGGAAGGTGAGGAATCCATTTTGAATTCTGTAAAAAGAGAAATGAAATAAGAAGCTGTAAGCATAGATTGAGACGAGTAGTGATCGACAAGTATAACATTCTTTTATGTGATATCATCCTAGCTCCGCTCGTTTCAGATACTTGGTAAATATCTGCCATTATCGTTTTAATATACTTCCCTAAAAGAAGGGGGCACTATCACGTCTTCTGATCATGTACAAGACATGCTCTATGGGAGAAAGGTCAGGACTCAAGGCTGGATATTGCAATCGGGTGACGTTTTACAAGACAAAACGTGGACAAGCATGACAAAGGCCGTAGTTAACATTTTTTGACAGGGAGGGCAAATATCTGTACAAGTATCACTTGCCCCCAATCCAGGGGGAACCTACCCTAAATCTGCCACGGTGCCGTCTGGATAGATCTGTTAACGGTGGCACAACACGTGGTTGCCCCCCCCCATCCCTATCCCCTTTTGGAAACCAAATGCAGTATGCTGTAGACAACCCACTCACCGCCCCCCCCCCCCCCCCCCCCAACTGAAAGTCCATCCTACCATAACAGTGCGAAAATCTTTATATTTTTCTTCAAGTTTTATCAAAATCAAATATATTCTACTACATAAAGTTTCACATTCTCACGCCAGTAAACGCTACGTAGTTTACAGGACTTGTACCTTAATACGTAACGCTTGGAGATCGAGCGGTCGAAACCAGTCTAACGAGCTGGCGGATGCTAACCAGCCTATAAACAATTAACTAAGCAAGTCAGCACATCAAAACTTGCATAATTTGACCAACATGTGGGAAGCCATTGTTATCAATTCCAAACTGGACATACGGGTAGTGACATGCTTTCAAACGTGGACAGGAGGTCTCGGGTATAAATGCAGGGGTATCTTGGCATTGAGTCATTCCTGCATTTCGCCTGAGAACCTCTCTGTCTGTTTTTGAAGGTAAGTTACTTTTATTTATTACTTTGCCATTTTGTTAAACTTGCTGTAAATAATTCTAACTTTGTTACTCTACTGGTACAAAGAGCTTATGTTACAGTAAATCAAAAAGTATGGTTCGAAATCTACGATTTGGCTGCTTCATGTTAATTTCATGCAGTTCAACTAGACATCAAATACTTTTCTGAATAATAGAGAATAATAGAGAGTCCCGGATAAAATACTAGCGTTAGTATTCCAGTCGTTTAAGTATCAATCTAACATATTACGCCATTTTAGCTATGGAAGTCGTGGATGCTTATTATTATGTTCAACGTGTATAACGTTTTCTGTATCAAGTGACTTTGTGGTCAACGTGTTCTATTATCTTCATTTATATTTTTTGTCATGTTATTCCTCTCATTGCTTGCATTTTCACGGGAAACATTTCATGTCTCAATATAATGAGTAGCATGGCATCGGCAGCTAAATGTATGTATTTACAGATAACCAGTCTGTGACTGTATATGTCTAGAACACAATACACGAAAAGTAAAACTGTTTCTGTAGCTAAATACGTACAGACTCGGTAATGTCTTTTAAATATTTACCATATAAGTGCATCCGCACTATCGTGAAGCGCCGGTAGCTAGGTTTTGTGTTTCATGTTGTAGAATAGTCTATAAAGATACAGGCATTTTAGTGGAAGTCTCGTATATAAAATACAATTCAATATCCAGCATTTCTTATATAAACTCTTTCTCATGTTATAAGTTATTTACTTATAATTGGTAAACGTCAGAAGAAGTTTTGATTAGTGTTAAAATGTCATTATCTTGAAGTAAGTATCTGGAGTTACTAGTTTATAAAGGCTACGGTCCAACGCACCCTCGGCCGTCTGCCATTGTTCATGTGGTGCACGAACCGTGACACCCGGCTTAAGCCCCAGGTATCTGTACCGCAGTTACCCTGGTTACAGCAACTATGTTATCATTGTTATGTTTGCAACAAGGCACCAGTAATGTACTTTACTTATTTATCAATTAAATTCAATTTTGAGGTAATTCAGTTTAAGAATATTCGGAATGAATTATTGAGCGAAAGTATTTTACTATACTGTAATGATGAATTCATTGTACAGGAAGAGTATTGTAAGATCATCCTTATGTCCATATTTTAACTGAATTTATGAATGATGAACGTTATGAACTTGATTGACATTCACTGAGCACAATGTTGTACGTGACCAAGGTGCTTATAATATGGCACCTTAATGATTCCACTGTAAAATAACTCATTGTCATTTTAATTTCATTAAAATTAAAATTATTATTAAATTAAAATTTTTAAAATTAATTTCAATATAAATGCTTTACTAGTTAATTGCTCATTATGATGTCTTAACTATAAAATGGAATCCTGAGATGCTGTTGAAAGGATGTTTGTTGCCTTTTGATATCATATATAATAAATATTACTGCATTTCGCCTGAGAACCTCTCTGTCTGTTTTTGAAGGCGTGGAGATCCCGGAGTTATTTCCCCGCAAAAATTCTAGGCATAAACGGTCGGTTAAATAAGACTGTGTCAGTTGTAGGGCTGCAACGATACACCTAGGTCACGATACGATACGTATTTCGATACTTACATCACGATTCGATATGTATCTTGATACGCTACGATACACATAGTGATAAGAGAAGACAAGAGATAATGAATTAAACTTAGTTTATTAAAATGAAAAATTAAATGAAAGTGAATGAATGTTCATGATTCATAAAATATATAATGTGAAGAGTATTTTAACTTAATGGATCATCAGCCATTTCCATGTAACAAACACAAAAGTAACAGTCCTACATATGTGTGAGCTGTGACTAGAATATAGGAGTAAATACTAAATACCAGTGTCCAGTAACTAATGATTTGCCATATTCATGTATAAAGGCAAAAAATAATTAAAAACAATTATTGCAACCTACAGAACAGACAGGTTAGACACCATTTGAAAGGTCTAATTCTACTGTTTATACATATGAAAGATATGTTTATCACATTGTTTAAATAATGCATTTACAACTGAATTAAGTTTGTTGTACATTCAACAATGTAAGCTAACACATTCATAACGTCCAGCGTTAGGGCCAAGGAAGAGAAAATTTGACGAAAATAAGATTTACTTAATTTAAGATCTATTTATCTATATCTTTTTTTTTATTATTTACGTAGATCTAATTGGAAATATTTTTTTTTTAAATTATGTCTGTTTTCACCCATTTACGGATAACAGCGACTGTCCGCTCTGTAACATGAAGAAATACATCTATTTTCGAATGCATCGTATGAATAACACGTTCGTGGAAGACTGACATCATTATGACACATCGCGAGAAAGCGTTCATCCACACGCCCGTAACATCGCCCGGAGTCTTTTCGTAGCTATAACATACGATTTCATTGGATAAAAACTGGTTTCTAATGACGCTTTCTTGCCGAAACCTCCAAAAAGGTTCGTGATTGGTCAAATCTGAGCAAGTGATCTGAGGCAGCCAATCAAATTACAAATCCTCGTGTATGATGAATGTCAAATTTGGACGAAATATTTGGGTTAAATCGTGTTATTATGAACGTTTTAAGTAGGAAATCGCGATCTATATTAATAGTATGGAGCTTCTTGGATGTATCATGCTAGGTTACAAGCCGTGATTAAGATTTTTCATGCATATATTTTGTCATTGAATATCGTGTCCGAGCCGAGAATTCGAGGCGACGAAAGCCGAGATGTCATTTGACTAGCATTACACGCGATCGCACGAAAAGATAGAAATAATAACTACGGTTTTGAAAGAGTTAAAACACATTTAAAACGTATCTGTGATAAAGGTTTATTAAAAACAAAACAAAGACGTATATATATATATTGAAAAAACGTATCGTGAAAAAAATCGAGATACAGCACCTCACAAATCGCGCACCGTAACGTATGGAATGAATCGCTGATATCGTTTCAGCTCTAGTTCTGTACCGATATGAGGCGGGATCACTATGACTAGTAGAACGCCACTGCATGTTTTCGATGGAAGGGTCACTGGACAGCACTACCGAGGCCAAATACTGGCGCCAATAGTTTTGCTACGTGCTGCTTGCGCACCATGCTTGTCCACGTTTTGTCTTTTAAAACAATAACGCTCTTTCCCACCACGCACGTATTGTAATGGCCTACCTCCAGCAGAAAAGCATCGCGAGATTGCAATATCCAGCCTTATGTCCTGACCTTTCTCCGATAGAGCACGTCTGGTACATGATCGGGGGACGTGATAGTGTCCCTTTCTTTTAGGGAAGTATATTAACACGATAATGGCAGATATATACCAAATATCTGAAACGAGCGGAGCTAGCTAGGATGATATCACATATCATAATGTTATACTTGTCGATCGATACTCGTCTCAATCTATGCTTACAACTTCTTATTTCATTTCTCTTTTTACAGGATTCAAAATGGATTCTTCAGCTTCCCCAGTTAAACTGATGTCAACACTTTTGAAGTCAACAGAAATGCAGGTTGGCGTGGTAGCCTTTATGGCGTCATTGCTGGCAATGAAAGTGGTGAAAAAGTTTACTTCTGGCCGGAAACCCCCTCCTCCTGGTCCCTGGGGGTTCCCTATTATTGGACACCTCCCGCTACTGGGAAACGAACCCTACGTGACCTTCATGAAGATGAAGGAAAGGTTCGGAAACATCTTCCAGATACAGTTGGGTAGTTGGTCGGCCGTGGTTATAAATGGCAAGCAGGCCATTAAGGAGGCTCTACATAACTCTGGCGAGGACTTCTCTGGTAGACCCCAGTTCATGTCTGCACAGATTATCAACTACGGTCAAAGTATTGGCTTTGGTGAGTATGGCGAACAGTGGAAAATTCACAGAAAAATTGCCAATAAAGTCCTGACTGAGTTCTCGAATGCCAAGTCAAATCCTATAGAAGATATGATTCACGAAGAAGTAGACATTCTCGTGGATGACTTCATGTCTGAGCAGGGAGCCACATTCAACCCTCAGGAACACATACAGCTTTCCATCGGAAGCGTCATCTACCAACTGTGCTACGGCAGACAAGAAAACATCCGGGAAGACAAGGATTTCGCTGATGTCATATTAAACTCAGCTGCATTCACGGAATTCGTCAGTGCCGGAAACCCTGTTGATGTCATGCCCTGGCTCCGATATCTCATGCCCTGGAAAGTTAAGGCATTTACAACACTCATCCAAACAAGCCTTGACGCAAATGAAAAGAAGATCAGTGAACACAAAACAAACTTCTCTAGTGATAACATGCGTGACATCACGGACAGATTGATATCTGTAAGTGAGGAAGACTCCAGGTTGTCCAAGGAAAGGATTTTGTCTACGCTTAACGACGTCTTTGGGGCAGGTTTTGAGACAACGGCTTCAACCACCAGGTGGATGTTACTGCTGATGGCCGCCAATCCAAACGTGCAGAGGCGGGTGCAGGAAGAACTGGACGACGTTGTGGGCAGCGGGAGACGACCCAGTATCCTGGACAGAGGTCAGCTTGTTTACACTGCCACAGTGCTCCATGAGATCAACCGGTTTGTGGCACTGGCACCTCTCAGTCTCCCTCACCTCACCATCACCGATACCAATCTCGGAGGATACAGTATCAACAAAAACACTGTTATCTTCATCAACCTGTACTCCATGAGCCATGACCCAGAAGTATGGGGTGATCCGCATGTCTTCCGACCCGAGCGTTTCCTTGACGCTTCCGGTGAGATCAACAAGTCCCTCCTGGAGGAGTTCCTTCCCTTCTCCACTGGTGGGCGAAAGTGTCTCGGGGAGTCTCTTGCAAGGAACGAAATTTTTCTTTTCTTCACTGGAATCCTACAGAAGTGCAGCATCTTGCAACCACCAGAAGTGAAGGAATATAGCATGGATGGCAACAGTGGATTAACGCGCCAATGTCTGCCCTACCAAGTACAGGTCAAACTCAGGACCTGACTCGCCACTCATCCGTCATCCTTCTCATGGACAACAACCTGACAAAAATTCATGAACTAGACAGGAACGAAATCTTTCATTTGTTCACTGGAATCCTACAGAAGTGAAGGAATAGAGCAAGGACGTCATAGGTGGAACAAGATCTAATCAAGCTATAAACTATCAGCTTGTCACAACTGTTAATTCCGTTTAATCTTTATCCTTACTGTACACCTGGCTTCATTACCCATGTGCTTTATAACCTGAATGCTATTTATTATTCTTTCTGTACACCTGGTTTCATTACCTGTGTGCTATTTGTTATTCTTTCTGTACACCTGGCTTCATTACATGTGTGCTATTTGTTATTCTTTCTGTACACCTGGTTTCATTACCTGTGTGCTATTTGTTATTCTTTCTGTACACCTGGCTTCATTACATGTGGATTGCATTACCTGTGTGCTATTTGTTATCCTTACTGTACAACTGGCTTCATATCATCATTTCATCCGACCGGGTACCCAGCCTGATTTCACCCCCAGAGTAATGACGTCATATAATTCTGCCCCTGGGTACCCGGTCGGATGAAATGATGCTATAAGAGCACACCTGACAGCCCCAAACACACATCTTAGTTGTATACTCTGAGAGTGGACGTGACAATACAAATGAGCATTGATCCGTGGAAAATTATATGTGAAACAACATGGCTTTCAGATGTGCATACCGCACAATTTAATGCTTCATCGGTAATAATGTCCTTTTTTTCACATCAGACAACTGTGAATGAGAGAGGAGAATGTGTTCCAATGTCCCCAAATCGCTGTGTTCTCCGTCTCGGTCGATACCCTTTGTCTGTCTGAGACGCTGCCGGCACTGCTGAATGCAGAGCCGTCAACCTGGGAGCCCCTCATAAAGAACAAACCATTTGATCTACTGAGATTTTATCAAAAAAGGTAAACTGTCCCTGGAAATGTTGTTGAAAAATAAGAAATTGCCTGGCTCAAGAATTACATACATTGTTGAGAGGTGTTTTATTTTTAAAAATCAGGCTCCCAGTCACTCTCTGACCCCCGCACTATAATTTCAGATAATTATTTCAAATGGTCGATCCGTTAATGTTGCTGCTATACGAATAAAAAATGATGAAAAATCAAGTTTTGTGTTTATTCTCATGTTTTGACTAAATCCAATTTTACACCCTTACATCACTGAGACCATTCCATTATAATAATTTGAAAATCATAGGACTCTCATCTTTCATCACACCAAATGGTTGACAAATTTCCTAAATGTAATCCCAAATATACATAATTTCAGACATTATTTCTTCGTTCTTCGTTTTTTCCCCGTTTTTTTCTCTCATTTATTTGCTATAAAGACTTGTTGATTTTTTTATAGCATTCTACATTGATGCGTTCTGCTGAGAGTAGTTTGCCCTGGTACCTGGTGACGGGTTCCGAAATTGGCGTGGATCGTTGTTGCCACCGTAAGTGTTAGTTATAGGTGGTCCACTGAGTAAGTGAGTGTGTGAGAAGGGTTTAACCCCGTGTTGAAACAATATTCTAATGATGTCACGGCGTGTTAGTTACATGTCGGGGGAATGCTCGAGGTAATGCAGGTTTAACATGTTTACCATTTTTATGAAACCAACGAGCAAGGATATGGGGTTGGTGCTGATGGCTGCATTTATTAAATGACCAACGGGGTAAGGGTGGGCGCGCCAGAAACCTATGATTGTGGGTTCGATTCCCGGTTCGATTCCCGGTTCGCCCCGATTATGTTTCTAGGTTTGTCAGCACCATACCCGTGCCCGTGGGTTTCACCGAAGTGGTAAACGTCTGAGACCTGCATCACTTCGGGCTTTCCTCCCACATTAAGCTGACACGCCGTGATATGACTGGAATACTGTTAAAAGCGGCGTTTAACCCAACTCACTCACTCACTCACTCACTCACTCACTCACTCACTCACTCACTCACTCACTCACTCACTCACTCACTCACTCACTCACTCACTCACTCACTCACTCACTCACTCACTCACTCACTCTCACTCACTCACTCACTCATATCGGTACAGAACCACCCCTAAATCTGCCACGGTGCCGTCTGGATAGATCTGTTAACGGTGGCACAACACGTGGTTGACGAACATTCAGACGAGTTCAAGTCCTGCGCCTCCCCCACCCACCCCCCCACCCCCCCCACCCCCATCCCTATCCCCTTTTGGAAACCAAATGCAGTATGCTGTAGACAACCCACTCACCCCCCACCCCCCAACTGAAAGTCCATCCTACCATAACAGTGCTAAAAATCATTATATTTGTCTTCAAGTTTTAGCAAAATCAAATATATTCTACTACATTAAGTTTCACATTCCCAAGCCAGTAAACGCTACGTAGTTTACAGGACTTGTATCTTAATACGTAACGCTTGGAGATCGAGCGGTCGAAACCAGTCAAACGAGCTGGCGGATGCTAATCAGTTAGCGCTTTTGAAATTCTAGACCCGGCTGGCCGCTTTCAGGCACAGCTGACCAGCCTATAAACAATTAACTAAGCAAGTCAGCACATCAAAACTTGCATAATTTGACCAACATGTGGGAAGCCATTGTTATCAATTCCATACGGGTAGTGACATGCTTTCAAACGTGGACAGGAGGTCTCGGGTATAAATGCAGGGGTATCTTGGCATTGAGTCATTCCTGCATTTCGCCTGAGAACCTCTGTCTGTTTTTGAAGGTAAGTTACTTTTATTTATTACTTTGCCATTTTGTTAAACTTGCTGTAAATAATTCTAACTTTGTTACTCTACTGGTACAATGAGCTTATGTTACAGTAAATCAAAAAGTATGGTTCGAAATCTACGATTTGGCTGCTTCATGTTAATTTCATGCAGTTCAACTAGACATCAAATACTTTTCTGAATAATAGAGAATAATAGAGAGTCCCGGATAAAATACTAGCGTTAGTATTCCAGTCGTTTAAGTATCAATCTAACATATTACGCCATTTTAGTTATGGAAGTCGTGGATGCTTATTAAACATTATGTTCAACGTGTATAACGTTTTCTGTATCAAGTGACAACGTGTTCTATTATCTGCATTTATATTTTTTGTCATGACATTCGTCTCATTGCTTGCTTTCATGTCTCAATATAATAAGTAGCATGGCATCGGCAGCTAAATGTATGTAAAGATAACCAGTCTGTGACTGTATATGTCTAGAATACAATACACGAAAAGTAAAACTGTTTCTGTAGCTAATTACGCACAGACTCGGTAATGTCTTTTAAATATTTACCATATAAGTGCATCCGCACTATCGTGAAGCGCCGGTAGCTAGGTTTTGTGTTTCATGTTGTAGAATAGTCTATAAAGATACAGGCATTTTTAGTGGCAGTCTCGTATATAAAATACAATTCAATATCCAGCATTTCTTATGTAAACTCTTTCTCATGTTATAAGTTATTTACTTATAATTGGTAAACGTCAGAAGAAGTTTTGATTAGTGTTAAAATGTCATTATCTTGAAGTCAGTATCTGCAGTTACCTCGTTTGTAAAGGCTATGGTTCAACGCACGCTCGGCCGTCTGCCATTGTTCACGTGGTGCACGAACCGTGACACCCGGCTTAAGCCCCAGGTATCTGTACCGCAGTTACCCTGGTTACAGCAACTATGTTATCATTGTTATGTTTGCAACAAGGCACCAGTAATGTACTTTACTTATTTATCAATTCAGTTCAATTTTGAGGTAATTAAGTTTAAGAATATTCGGAATGAATTATTGAGCGAAAGTATTTTACTATACTGTAATGATGAATTCATTGTACAGGAAGAGTATTGTAAGATCATCCTTATGTCCATATTTTAACTGAATTTATGAATGATGTACGTTATGAACTTGATTGACATTCACTGAACACAATGTTGTTAGTGACCAAGGTGCTTATAATATGGCACCTTAATGATTCCACTGTAAAATAACTCATTGTCATTTTAATTTCATTAAAATTAAAATTATTATTAAATTAAATTTTTTTAAATTAATTTCAATATAAATGCTTTACTAGTTAATTGCTCATTATGATGTCTTAACTATAAAATGGAATACTGAGATGCTGTTGAAAGGATGTTTGTTGCCTTTTGATATCATATATAATAAATATTCCTGCATTTCTCCTGAGAACCTCTGTCTGTTTTTGAAGGCGTGGAGATCCCGGAGTTATTTCCCCGCAAAAATTCTAGGCATAAACGGTCGGTTAAATAAGACTGTGTCAGTTGTAGGGCTGCAACGATACACCTAGGTCACGATACGATACGTATCTCGATACTAACATCACGATTCGATATGTATCTTGATACGCTACGATACACATAGTGATAAGAGAAGACAAGAGATAATGAATTAAACTTAGTTTATTAAAATGAAAAATTAAATGAAAGTGAATTAATGTTCATGATTCATAAACTATATAATGTAAATAGTATTATAACTTAATGGATCATCAGCCATTTCCATGTAACAAACACAAAAGTAACAGTCCTACATATTTGTGAGTTGTGACAAAAAAAAGGAGTAAATACTAAATACCAGTGTCCAGTAACTAATGATTTGCCATTTTCATGTATTAGGGCAAAAAATAATTAAAAACAACTCTTGCAACCTACAGAACAGTCATGTTATACACCATTTGAAAGGTCTAATCCTACTGTTTATAAATATGAAAGATATGTTTATCACATTATTTAAATAAACCATTTACAACTGAATTAAGTTTGTTGTACATACAATATTGTAAGCTAACACATTCATAACGTCCAGCGTTAGGGCCAAGGAAGTGAAAATTTGACGAAAATAAGATTTGTTTTTGCAAATATAGGATTTAATTAATTTAAGATCTATTTATCTATATCTTCTTCTTTTTTATTATTTACGTAGATCTAACTGAAATATTATTTTTCAAAGAATTATGAATAGTATCTGTTTTCACGCATTTCCGGATAACAGCGACTGTCCGCTCAGAAACATGAAGAAATACTTCCGTTTTCGAATGCTTCTTATGAATAACACGTTCGTGGAAGACTGACATAATTATGACACATCGCAATAAAAAACTTTCATCCACACGCCCGTAACATCGCCCGGAGTCTTTTCGTAGCAATAACATACGATTTCATTGGATAAAAATTGGTTTCTAATGACGCTTTCTTGCCGAAATCTCTTACAAGGTTCGTGATTGGTCAAATTTGAACGAGTGACCTGAGGCAGCCAATCAAATTACAAATCCTCGTGTATGATGAATGTCAGATTTGGACGAAATATTTGGGTTAAATCGTGTTATTATGAACGTTTTAAGCAGGAAATCGCGATCTATATTATTAGTATGGAGCTTCGTGGATGTATCATGCCAGGGTACAAGCCGTGATAAAGATTTTTCATGCATATATTTTGTCATTGAATATCGTGTCCGAGCCGAGAATTCGAGGCGACGAAAGCCGAGATGTCATTTCACTAGCATTACACGCGATCGCACGGAAAGATAGAAATAATAACTACGGCTTTGAAAGAGTTAAAACACATTTAAAACGTATCTGTGATAAAGGTTTATTAAAAACAAAACAAAGACGTATATATATATATTGAAAAAGCGTAACGTGAAAAATCGAGATACAGCATCTCACAAATCGCGCACCGTAACGTATGGAGTGAATCGCTGATAACGTTTCAGCTCTAGTTCTGTACCGATATGAGGCGGGATCACTATGACTAGTAGAACGCCACTGCATGTTTTCGATGGAAGGGTCACTGGACAGTACTACCGAGGCCAAATACTGGCGCCAATAGTTGTACTATTTGCTGCTTGCGCGCCATGCTTGTCCACGTTTTGTTTTAAAACAATAACGCTCTTTCCCACCACGCACGGATTGTAATGGGCTACCTTCAGCAGAAAAGCATCCCCAGATTGCCAAGGCCAGTCTTGAGTCCTGACCTTCTCCGAAAGAGCACGTCTGGTACATGATCGGGAGACGTGATATTGTCCCCTTCTTTTAGGGAAGTATATTAACACGATAATGGCAGATATTTACCAAGTATCTGAAACGAGCGGAGCTAGCTAGGATGATATCACATATCATAATGTTATACTTGTCGATCACTACTCGTCTCAATCTATGCTTACAGCTTCTTATTTCATTTCTCTTTTTACAGGATTCAAAATGGATTCTTCACCTTCCCCAGTTAAACTGATGTCAACACTTTTGAAGTCAAGAGAAATGCAGGTTGGCATGGTAACCTTTATGGCGTCATTGCTGGCAATCAAAGTGGTGAAAAAGTTTACCTCTGGCCGGAAACCCCCTCCTCCTGGTCCCTGGGGGTTCCCTTTTATTGGACACCTCACCCTACTGGGAAACGAACCCTACGTGACCTTCATGAAGATGAAGGAAAGATTCGGAAACATCTTCAAGATCCAGTTGGGTAGTTGGTCGGCCGTGGTTATAAATGGCAAGCAGGCCATTAAAGAAGCTCTACATAACTCTGGCGAGGACTTCTCTGGTAGACCCCAGTTCATGTCCGCACAGATTATCAACAACGGTCAAAGTATTGGCTTTGGTGAGTATGGCGAACAGTGGAAAATTCACAGAAAAATTGCCAACAAAGTCCTGACCGAGTTCTCGAATGCCAAGTCAAATCCTATAGAAGATATGATTCACGAAGAAGTAGACATTCTCGTGGATGACTTCATGTCTGAGCAGGGAGTAACATTCAACCCTCGGGATTACATCTACCTCTCCGTCGGTAGCGTCATCTACCAACTGTGCTACGGCAGACAAGAAAACATCCGGGAAGACAAGGATTTCGCTTATTTCATATTAAACTCAGCTGCATTCGCGGAATTCGTCAGTGCCGGAAACCCTGTTGATGTCATGCCCTGGCTCCGATATCTCATGCCCTGGAAAGTGAAGGCATTTACAACACTCATCCAAACACGTATTGACGCAAATGAAAAGAAGCTCAGTGAACACAAAAAAACCTTCTCTAGTGATAACATGCGTGACATCACGGACAGATTGATATCTGTAAGTGAGGAAGACTCCAGGTTGTCCAAGGAAAGGATTTTGTCTACGGTTAACGACCTCTTTGGGGCAGGTTTTCAGACAACGGCTTCAACCACCAGGTGGATGTTACTGCTGATGGCCGCCAATCCAAACGTGCAGAGGCGGGTGCAGGAAGAACTGGACGACGTTGTGGGCAGCGGGAAACGACCCAGTATCCTGGACAGAGGTCAGCTGGTTTACACCGCCGCAGTGCTCCATGAGATCAATCGGTTTGTGGCACTGGCACCTCTCAGTCTCCCTCACCTCACCACCACCGATACCAATCTCGGGGGATACAGTATCAACAAAAACACTGTTATCTTCATCAACCTGTACTCCATGAGCCATGACCCAGAAGTATGGGGTGATCCGCATGTCTTCCGACCCGAGCGTTTCCTTGACGCTTCTGGTGAGATCAACAAGTCCCTCCTGGAGGAGTTCCTTCCCTTCTCCACTGGTGGGCGAAAGTGTCTCGGGGAGTCTCTGGCTAGGAACGAAATGTTTCTTTTGTTTACTGGAATCCTACACAAATGCAGCATCTTGCAACCACCAGAAGTGAAGGAATATAGCATGGACGCCAACAATGGATTAACGCGCCAATGTCTGACCTACCAAGTACAGGTCAAGCTCAGGACCTGAATCGCCACTCATCCATAATTCTTCGCATGGACAACAACCTAACAAAAATTCATGATCTTGACAGGAACGAAATCTTTCTTTTGTTCGCTGGAATCCTACAGAAGCGCAGCATCCTGCAAACTCCAGAAGTGAAGGAATAGAGCATGGACGTCGTGAATGGAACAACGCGCCAATGTCTGCCCTACCAAGTACAGGTCCATCTGAGGACCTGACTCGCCATTCCTCACATGGACAACACCCTGATAAAAATTCATGAACTGGACAATGAACCGACCCAAGGAATCCTGTTATCACCTGCTGATTTAGCAGGGCCACAGGACACAAGCCTAAAAACCAAATATAAGTTCGGGAAGAGCAATGTTAATATATTGCCATGTGTTTCAAATGCCAGGACTCAACTCTACACTGAAACACCCTGTGCAGTGCTCAGAACCAAGCCAGCTACAGTAGCCCAGTAGATTCCCACATCAAAAAACATCAGACTCCAACAGCCAAAGCAGACAGGAAATCAGCCCTCTCAGACCACCATCAAACATTTCCTAGCCATCACATTCAGTTTGAAAGGTCCAAATCCTCTCAATCAAACAATAGGACTTTACAAAACGAAAACTCTCAGAACTTATAGAAATCCGGCGTCACAAACCTTTGATCAACAGAGATCATATGTATTGCATCTCGTCTGCCAATGAAGATCTAATCAAGCTATAAACTATCAGCTTGTCAACTGTTAAATCCTTTTACTCTTTATCCTTACTGTACACCTGGCTTCATTACCCGTGTGCTTCATAACCTGTGTGGTATTTGTTATTCTTTCTGTACACCTGGCTTCATTACCTGTGCGCTTCATTACCTGTGTCTTATTTTGTATTCTTACTGTACAACTGGCTTCATTACCTGTGCGCTTCATTACCTCCATGGTATTTGTTATTCTTACTGTACATTTGGCTTCATCCAGTTCTCTGTGTACTTCTTGTTATCTATAACCTGTTGTCAATGTGTATCTGCTGCTTATCACAACATGTCATGCATATGCATATGTACCTCTCATCACTTGGTTGTTGTCACTCCACCTTGATAACAGTGTGAGAATCTACATCGAAACGTCGCTATATGCAATAAACCAGAAGTTGTTATCTATGAAGTTGTACGTTTTGTTACTTACTCACTAAGTTCTAGAATGCCAACCAAACTGTTGTCAAGCTATCAGTTATGTTATAACGTAAATGTGTTTTTCCTACATGTATCTTCGATTTCTAACAATTTGTTTGTAATCACGTTAATCATTTCCACGTTTCCACATTTCCAGATATAATATTTGACAAACGCATATTCATAAAGATAAATCGAAGCAACTATGGGTATTCATTTTGTCCTGAATCATGACTATGCATTGATTACATGCATATTTTATTCTTGCTATGTTGGTTGGTTGGTTTGTTGTTTTACGCCGCACTCAGCAATATTCCAGCTATGTGACGGCGGTCTGTAAATAATCGAGCATGGGCATGGTGCTTACAAACCTAGAAACATAATCAGGGTGAACCGGGAATCGAACCCACAGTCATAGGTTTCTGGCGTGCCCACTCTTACCCTGTTGGTTATTTAATAAATGCATCCCCTAGGGCTTCAACGACACACCTTAGTCACGATATGATACGTATTTCGATACTTACATCACGATTCGATATGTATCTTGATAAGCTACGATACACATAGTGATAAGAGAGGACAAGAGATAATAAATTAAACTTAGTTTCTTAAAATGAAAAATGATATGAAAAGTTTATCGTGGGAAGCCACGCATTCTAATTAAAAAGTGGGCTGATTGGTTAAAAAGAGTGTATTACGATAGAAAGCGTGGCGCATAGCGGCGTTACACCCTTAATGGATGCTATAGATCGGATTAAGAAACGCTATAAACCTACGCGTGGAATGGTTAGAAAGTCAGACAGCGTATACACTGCACAGAGATGTACGAAATAAGTTTCCCAGAGATTCGTTTAATTCGTCTATCCTTACCAGCGATCAGTTGTGGCAAATGGATTTGACCGTTATGACGTCTTTGGCTAGCGAGAATGACGCGTATAAGTATATCTTGTGCGTTATAGACGTGTTTAGTAAAATGGTCTTGGTGGAGCCTTTGAAATTAAAAAAATCCTTTACACGTTCTCGAAGGGTTTAAACGCATTCTCAAAGGCGCTGACCCTCGCACTCCTGAAAGTATTCAAAGCGATAAGGGAAAAGAATTATTTTAAAGTTTCGTAAAAAATGAAATGCAGTCAAACTATTATACGAGTCAGAATCCTCAAACCATGTGCGCGGGTGTTGAAAGATTTCAAAGAACCCTAAAAGAACGTATGTGGAGGTATTTTACTAAAAACCGTTCTTACAAGTATATCGATATACTACAAGATTTGGTGACGGCTTACAATTCGAGTTATCATAGAACTATAGGCAGAAGACCTCGGGAAGTCACGCGAGATAACCCGGTAGTTGAAATAGGCGTGCTCGATTTCGTGAAAAGTTCGCGAAAGAAACGCCTGAAAAAATTTAGCGTTAAAGGTGGGTACTCCCGTAAGATTAAGTAAAAGTAAAATGGCGTTCGAGAAAGGTTATACTTCTAACTGGACACGGGAAGTGTTTTACATTACGAGAGTATTTAAAGGTAGACTTCCCCTGGTGTATAAAGTGGGAGACTATTCGCGGAATGAATTAGTTGGAACGTTTTATCGGGAGGAACTACAGTCGGTTAAAGAGCCCGATATGTACGAAATTGATAAGATAATATCAGAAAGAATTAATCCTGAAACTGGTCTGCCCGAGGCGTTTGTTTCTTGGAAAGGGTACTCAAAATTTTTCAATCAGTGGTTACCGAAAGAAAGTATTTTACAAACCAAGTAGCTTATATACGACTTGATCGAGAGGTTAAAGGGGTATAACCGCGAGGGATTCAAACCATACAAACTTTTACGTTACGCTACCGAGTGAGGCCTCTATGGTTAACAGGCCTGAAAACAAAGCCAATGAGTTCACGACTGATTTACCTTATGCATTACATTTTAATAGACACGAATGGGAGGTAGGGGTATCTCAAGTTCAAATACCCGTGACATGGCGAAACGTACATAAACCTCTCAACACCCTTAGCATATCGATCGTCGTAAAATCCTTACGAACTTAAGCGGTTCCCGTGGCAACGTGGATTTGCCTTTCGCGCATGCCTGTTCGCTAACCATTCCCGAAGGACATTATACCGGCAGTCAATTAGTATATATGTTTATTCATGTATGGGGCCCATGTACATTTCAGTTATATATAGTTACACACAACTAAGGCAAGTTACATTGAAAACGATACTAAGGGTACAATTTTAGATCTTTGTGCGTAATAACAGAGCTTCCTTCACATACTTAGCTACATTTTTGAGCATACAGTCATTTTGGCTATTTAAGAGATTGCTAAAAGTATTAATACATGGATTGTTATAGAAATTTACAGGAATATATACTTTTGTCTTAATGATGCGTAAAACGGGCAGACAAACATAAAATGGACTTCGTCCTCAATACAACCATTGTTACATAGCCGACAAAAGCGTTGTGAATAAACAATATCCTCTCTTCTGCCCAGATTACTTCGTATAGGCAATTCACTTAATCTCAACAGGCACAGCATACGTCTATGGTCTCTATTTCTGAAAGCTGTAACATAATATTCCATATCCAATAATATCTTGACGTGTGAATAATACCTTAATTTACAAGACTCATAAATTTTCATCTGTATACTCAGTTTGTTACAATCCAACAAACGCTGTCTAACAGCTGCAAGAAACACTTAACATCACCAATATTCTGTTCGTGCCACACATAACCAAATCCATAATCGAATAAATATTTAACATGAGTTGCCCAAGTTATTCTACCACATTCATCCAGCTTCTACATTAACAAATAACACTGTCGGGGATATCTTTCATCATTCATTCTAATCAGTTTACACCAGTATTTAACACACTTCATATGATAATCCACATGCAAACCATATCTTCCACATTCAGCTTATATTACTGTACTTGATACTTATTTACCAACTCCTAAAACAAATTTTAAAAACTTAGTATGAAAAGTTTCGACAATTTGACTACCTTTGCAACCCCAAATCTCAGCACTATAAAGAAGAATGTGCTTTATCTTAGTATCAAACAATTTAAATAAAATGTTAACTGGCATATTTACAAAGTGAAACTGCAATTGTTTAATAGCAAACAAAGCCTTATTGGCTTTTATCTTGAGAGTATCAATGCATTTAGTCCAAGACAATTTATTTGAAAACAGAACACCCAGATAACTATAGTAAGTACTAGTAATCACTATAGTAAGTAAAACCATCGTTCATCATACCTTATAGTAAAAGTAATATGTCTTTAAACTCCTCTCCAATAAAAATCCCTTGCAAATCACTACTTTCTATCATAGACTGTAATTCAAGAATAAACATCGTGAACAGAAACGGACTCAACACGCAGCCCTGTCGAACACCACTCAGTGATTCGAAATAATCTAAAGTTAGTTGCTGTGATCAACGAATCGTTACAGAGGGGTATCAAGTCCGAAACCAAGAAATTGTCGGATGTAGATCCTAATTAATTTTATTACTATGCAACGGACCGGGAGTTTTTAACTATTAAGAAACACGCCGTTTATTTCAAATTACCTCCTATTTCCAAAGAAGAAGAAACACAATATACCGGAGTATGGACTGGACCCATACGATTTGATATCCTAAATCCCGTTAATAGTTATATCGATTTAGCGCAGTGTTATTTGCGAATTGTTGTCAAAGTAACTAAAAGTAATGGCGACAATACAAACCCAAGAGCATCGAGACAAGATAATGATATACCTCCGGACCACGTTGCGCCTATAAATAATTCCCTTCACAGTCTTTTCCGCGATGTAAGGGTACAACTCGGTCAAAATCAGCAGGAGGTCACGCCCAGTCTCGCTACGTAGCCTGCCACAGTTATCTCGAACCGCTACTGTCCTTCGACGAAGAATCTAATATAAACAGAGTTTTAAGTCATGTCAAGGATTGCATATGGACGAAGCCAACAAATTTGACGATCTCAATATGAACAATGGTCGCTGCAACTCGGGGACGAAAAAACGGTGGCAATCAATAGTTCCAACGCGTGAAGTAGAATACGTGTCAAGACCTAATATATTTGTACAACCTCGTTATCTCATAGACGGTGTTAATATAAAACTAGAACTCATTCGTTCATCCGAACAGTTTTGGTTGATGTACGCCGATGGTGGGACTACTTATAAAAGTGAGATCGTCAGAGCGGAATTTTACGTCAGACAATTGGAAATTTCGCCACGAATAAGAGAACTACACATTAAAGCTTTACAGAAAGGGATAACTGCAAAATATCCTATTACGCGAGTCAAGACAACTGCTCACGATATACCAACGGGTGTAAGAGATTATCATAATCAAGCTATTGTCAATGGAGATCCCCCGTATGGTCATTAATATTGGTTTGGTGGAAAATAATGCGTATGCCGGTACATGCCATTTGAGGGCGGTCGGGTAGCCTAGTGGTTAAAGCGTTCGCTAGTCACGCCGAAGACCCGGGTTCGATTCCCGACATGGGTACAATGTGTGAAGCCCATTTCTGGTGTCCCCCGCCGTGATATTGCTGGAATATTGCTAAAAGCGGACGTAAAACCATACTCACTCACATGCCATTTGAACCCTTTCAAATTTGGCCATCAAAGTTTGAGTAATCTAAACGTAAAATTGAATGGTCAAGAGGTACACGGTAAATCTATCTACGTAGATTACGGCGACGACTCGTCCAGATTGTACGAAACTTATTTAGACCTGTTTCGTAATGGCAGTGGCCTGGGGCGAAATGGATTACACGGTATAACACCCGCACAATTCCGTGGCGGTTTTACGCTGTACATTATCGATTGTAGTAATGATCTAGGCGCGGATGAAGGACATCACTACCCTAAATAATCGGGCAAAGTAGGAATCGAACTGTACTTTTCACAACCGCTAGCTCACCCTTTGACCATGATTACCTATTTGGAAATGAATAACTGCATTGAAGTGGACGCGTACCGTAACGTTATGATGACGTAAAGATGTTGTACACCTCGGATATAGACGCTTTCGTGCGAGGCGACTACGAGTTAAAGGA